AGCTCAAGTTATAGCTCAGTATGCCAACAGGGCGTGGTTCTCAACCTGTGGGTCATGAGCCCTTTGAGGGTCGCCTTTTCACAGGGGTTGCCTAAGACCATCAGAAAACACAGATTTCCGATGGTCTTAGGAACTGAGACACCACTCCTCTATCTCAACTTTAGCACTGATGGCTTTTTATGGGTATGCATACTGTCGCAAAAGGTGGCAATGAAGTTTACTGTTGTTATATAAAGACTGTTACCCATGCTACACCATGCTTCAAGACAAAATTTCATTTCTTTGGAATTAGAAATAAATATTTCACAAGATATAATTACATTGCTTTTGTGATTAATCACTGTTTTAATTATGTTGAATTTTTAACAATGAAAATACTTCCTGCATATCAGATATTTACATTATGATTCATAACAGTAGCAAAGTTACAGCTATGAAGTAGCAACAAAATAATTTTATGATTGGGGATCACCATAACATGAGCAACTGTATTAAAGGATCACAGCATTAGGAAGGTTGCAAACACTGCACTAGGGCTTCTGAGACTTCTCTACAGAGCCTTTTATGTTAGCAGGACATCATGATCAAGAGCCCAGACTCTAGACAAGACTGGCTGTGCTTGAATCTCAGCTTTGTCACATGGGAACTGGGTAATTTTGGGCAGGTTATCTAAACCGTTCTCAGTTTTCTCATTTAAATTAGAGAAGAGTACGAAATTAATATCTACCTCGAAGGGCTGGGACTAAATTAATTTATATAGGTAAATACCCTTAGAATATTTCCTGGCACATAGCAAATTTCATATAAGGGCTAGCTATTATTATTATTATCCTTTTAGGAGAAAACACACACCTAGTATTTAACTGATATATCATGGAAGAAATCTGAGTAGAGCGCTCCTTAGATGCAAGATGGCAAGACTGTGTCTTACATACTTTGGACATGTTGTCACTTGTGGAAAAAGACATCATACTTGGTAAAGTGGAGGGGCCGTGAAATAAACGGCAGGCCCAAATGAGAGGGACTGACACAGTGGCTGCTACAACGGTCTCAGGTATAGGAACAATTGTGGGGATGGTCCAGGACCGGGCAGGGGTTTGCTCTGTTGTGCATAGGGTCATTATGAGTTGGAACCGACTCAATGGTACTTAACAACAAACAACGCTATTTAATATAACGATAACCCTTCCAAAAGCCCGGATGGCATAGTGGGTTGTGTACTGAGCTATGAACTCCAAGGTTGGCAATTCAAACCCATCAGCTACTCCAGGTGAGAAAGACGAGACTTTCTGCTCCCATGAAGATTTACAGCCTTAGGACCTCACAGGGGCAGTTCTACTCTGTCCTATAGGGTCACTATGAGTCAGAAATGACTCAGTGGGTGTGAGTTTGGAGTTGATGTTGTTTTGTACCTCTCCATGTACACGTCATATTTATACTTTTGTATTTTCTTTTCAAATTTGGGTTGCATGTGAAAAGCTTCTTGGAAGAACAGTTTCTCTTGGAGCAACCTCAAACATCTCAAACAACCTGTCTCTTAGTGACTTACAGCGCCTCGTGCTCTAGCATGGGACTTGACGTGGAGCAGATGCTAGCAGATGCTAGACTACACCGTCTTCTGTGCCAGTGAGAGGTGCTGGGAATTGCTGACAGACAGGCAGTTCTTGTACTAAGTAGAGGTAGGATGGGGACTGTGAGAACACAGAGGAGGTGGCCTAAACCCAACACCAGCACAAGTATGTCTATAGGAGCTTCCAGAAGCTGTGCTTCTTGCCTGTGTCCTGAAGGACACACAGGGGTTGGCCTTTGAAGAGCAAGATATATAAAGCATTTTGAGATTCCCTTTCTGATGTCATTGCTGGTCAAATAATTCAAAGTCGTCACTGAGCATCTTTTTATTTTTATGTTCACCATAACAAATACATGAACATTCACCCATTTGTCCTACCTGACATAAAATGTATACAGAAATGCGAGCTTGTTTGTCATTTAAGTCACAAGTATGCTCCACCCATCTTTCTGATAATCTACTTGAAAGAAAATGAACAACTATCTCACTGAGTAGCTATCATGTGCCAACGTTGTAGGGAGCACTTTTAGAAAAAACACCCCTGAGCCTCGTGGGAAGAGCGTTCCATGACTCCCGAAGCCCGTAAGCTTACCCAGGAGCTGAGCCGAAGCTGGGACTCAAGGTTACCAATCCCATCCTCTTCGTAAATATCCTACATGAAAATTTTGGATTAATCACTTACTAAATTTTTTTTTATAGACATAGCCTCATGAACGATAGTAATTCAGATTTTCTTCCTGGGGAGATTTTATGAACTCTTGCATAGATCAATCATTATAATTTACAAATTCCCCTTCATGATTGGAAGGATGAATCTTGACCCTGGGAGGGGGAAATCACAAGGTTCCTTGCTGGTCAGCACTGTTCCCCACGGCGAGTGCCTTCCCAGACGCAGCTTCAGCGGCTCTTGCTCCCTAGTGGCTGTAGAACACCACTTGAATAATGCATATCATTTCTATATTCTTTCACCAGAACATCACCTACTTAAATCATTAAGATGGGTTCTTGGTAAGGGATCAGAATTTTTAAAAAGGAGAAGAAAAAGACAAGTTCCCCTTGTAAACACCAGAACAGAAAATAAGTAAGTGGCTAAAAGAAACAAGCAAATCGATTGTCATCCAGGTGATTCCACTCATGAAAACACCGTGTGTTGCAGAGTAGAACTGGTCCTGGGCCTGGTGGCCTAATGGATGCGAGTTGAGCTGCTAATCACAAGGTCAACAGTTTGAAACCACCAGTCCCTCCACAGGAGAAAGACCAAGTTTTCTACTCAGAGACCCTAAGCAAAAAAGAGGAAGGCCGTCAACGACATAGATTGATGTAGTGACTGCAACAACGGGCCCAGGAATGGGAACAATTGTGCAGTGATGCAGGCCTGGGCAGTGTTTCCTTCTATTGCGCATCGGGTCGCTATGGGGTGGAACCAACTTGGTGGCACTTCACAACAATTAACAACACTTTTTAACGGAACTATACCCCTTCTAAGGAGCCCTGATGGCACAACGGGTTCTGCATTGTGCCGCTGACTCCGTGGTTGGCAATGCCAACCCATCAGCTACTCCACAGGAGTGGAGTTACAGCTGCAGAAGCCACAGGGGCAGTTCTCCCCGGTCCTACAGGGTCATTATGAGTCGGAACTGACTCTCTGGCAGGGAGTCTGGTTTTGTCATATAACCCTTATGGAGGGTCCCTGGGCAGCAAATGGATAAGCCTTCTACTACTAGGTGGACGGTTGACAGGTCAAATTCACTCACAGACACACCTTGCCAGACAGGCCTGGTGACCTGCTTCCCAAAGGTTAAGCCTCTATCGCGTAGTTCTGCTTTGCACACATGGGGTCACTATGAGTTCGAACTGACTGACAGACCACTAACAACAGCAAATACTTAGGGGAGCAGAGTACTAGGCTTCTTTCTTTTGAGGCCATGCTGGACGGGTTTGGATCACCAACCTTTAGGTTAATAGCTGAGAGCAAATAATCTGTACCATAGAGGAATGGCCTAGAATATTCATGACTCTCTAACTGCATTGAATCAATCCATAGGCAGGTAAGCAAAACCAAACCAGAAAATCTAACATTCATCCAACTAGCTCTCTAAAATAAGGAAGCAAGCAGAGAGCTGAAGTTATTTCTCCATCAATGTAGCTTCATTTCCAGGTTTCCTTTACAAACGTCACTGAAAGCATAAAGGCAGTTCGGCTATTCTACCTGTCTACTCTTTGGTATTAACCGGTGTGGAGAGCCGACTAGTGCCTCCCACTTCCCGTATGAAAAACCCATGTGCCATCATCTTCCATCATTCTGGAATTACCCTTTCATGCTTTTCTCAAGTGCTTCTGCTTGCACATGTGCCCCCTGTTGCCAACAGACCACCGTATTGGTTACCATTAGGTTTCCACGGATGTTTTCTTGTCATTTCCCTACTCATGCAAGTCTGAGCATATCGCTGGGTCCACCAGGAAACAAAATAGAGGTCACTGTAGCAGCCATGATTTCCAAGCTGCTTGCTGAATTTAGCTGTCCGCTATTTTCCACTCTAATAAAAACTGAACTACAATTATAGAATGTTGAAACAGACTGGCTGCTGAAAGGTCATTGGATCCAACCCCCTCATTTTTTCCCTGATGAAGACAGGGGTCCTAGACAAAGCCTGTGATTTGCTTGAACTCACAGAGCGCACTAATGGTAGGGCGAGAACTTGAGCTGAGGTCTGCCGAGCCCTGGGGCCGCACTGTCCTCACCCTACTGCAGATGCTCTGCCTCCAGGTCTCAGTCAACGTAACAAGCTCTTGCCGCATAAATGTAACGGATATTCTTGGTTGTGGCCTACCCTCCATGGCCATTCAGCTATTTGGTGGCTGAATACGAAACGGCAAATGTGTCGGACTTACACATTGCTACAAAAGAAATGCAACGATTCCCTACCCCAGCCCTGCCCCCCACCTCTCAGAACTTCCTGCTTTCTGTCCATCAATAATAAATGGCCCATCCCTGCAATACTCAGAGGGAGCTTACATTGCACTTTGGAACAGCCGGTTAGTAATGTACAGTGGCTAGAGCGTTTCTCTCAAATCCCAGGGCAGTGGGTCCTTCAAGGCTAGCATTGCATTTTCAATTAGCTGCTGAGTGAATGCTTGGCATGTGTATTAGTGAAGAGGCACACAATTAGCTTATTGCTCCTTTCCGTATGGTACTGAGAGGATCGAAGGGGCTGGTGGGGAAACAGGCAAGGCAGGCATCACTGTGGATGTGGAGGAAGGGAGTTACTCACACCGCGGCATCTTCCCTCGCATCCTCTGGAATTACAGCTGTTTAGTGCGCAGCCCTAGCTCTGTGTGGCTTGGTGGGGGGCGCCCGAGGAAACACCCCCGAGCTCACTGGCAACAGCGTCCTGAGCCTTCTTGTCTTCTAGTGGTTCTCGTCGACAGCATGGAGCCCAACAGCCCCAAAAAGATACAATTCGCGGTGCCTGTATTCCAGAGTCAGATCGCACCCGAAGCCGCCGAGCAGGTAAGGGAAATGGAGCGGGCACCAGGGTTCCCAGGTTGAAATTAATTCCGGATGCGTTCTTTTGTGGATGGGAAGATTGCTACCTCTTGAATATGCCGAACTCAAGACTTTGAGAATTAGTGCATGACAAATAGACTGGTTTCTCTACATACTTGTTTGATTCCACTGGCGAAATTAAACACTAAAAGATTACGCATCCTTTGAGATAAAATCATGCTCAATATGAGTGATTGTATTCTCAATTTGTATTTGATTAAAAAATGTTTTCAGCTATTAAAATAACAAGTACAGCTTTTAGAACTTAAAAAAACATTAGCCATCTTTTATTTAGCTGTTGTAGAATAAAAAATGATTTTGCAACAAATATGCTATAAGCTAGAATGATTCTATATCATGCAATTACTTAATATTTTATTTAAATATTTTTAATTATGTATAGAAAGCACTAGTACATTTCTGAATATATATTATTGGTTTTATAGGCATATTTAGAATTTTAAAACAATTTAATTAACAATTATAAATGATATTTTAATATTTGCTGAACTATTCTTTCCATGGCAATATATCTGTACCTCTCTCTTTTGCTATACAGCTATAGAAAGAATGTGATATTGATTTATATCTGCATCACCTTTTATGTTGAGATTTATTTAGACTCTTGATGCCATGATACCACTTCAAAGACCATTTGTGGGAAGAGGAATTGTGAGAAGGCAAATGGAAACAAATTTACAACTTAATTCATTAAATTCTTAAGACTCAAATTATCACTGCTTATGTTTTAAAATATTTGGTAAAAGCCAAAAATATAACCACTGCATCTAAGACTCACTACTTTCTAGAATGTTTGGATAATCTAGAGTAAATTCACATCAGACCATAGAAACACCATTCTGAGTATGTCGCTGTGCGGAATCAGGCATTGATTCTATTCTAGCAGATGCTCTGGTAAATGTTTGTCATTTACTCTGTTCACTTACATTTTAGGGTCTTACTGATAAACAAATATATTCAAAGAATCAAGGATGTATTCAAGATGTGAATCATGATATTTTTGCTGTAACTTAAAATAAGAAACACTAAACTTCTTAGTTTTAAGTGAAGTATGCATTATCTAAAGATACAGATGCATTTCCAATTTTCTCACTTGTTTAGCTATTGTATTAGAAAAATTTAAAAGCTAATGTAAATTTAAATTTACATTTGGTTCTGCTAACTTTAATAATAGTAACTGCTCAAAATTTGATTTCTCCAAATTTCTCTAACCATGTTTAGAAATGAAAGCAATGGATATGAAAGCATCTTCTGAATTATGAGAGGCAGTTAAGTTGGCAAGGCATCCCCATATCTTTAGTGGCATTGTTCAGCTGTTGATTTGCTGTGTCAATATATGGTGATGACTGCTTCTTTTTTAAGTGGAGGGTGTGGAGTTGGGGGAAAGAATCATGCTTGATATTTTACTACCTGTATGTCTATTCTTTCAAAATTCATGAACACCTACTGTGTGCCTTACAGACAGCTGCAATTATATGCTGGGGAAATATTTGGAGAAGGCCAATTTGCAAACTGTAGGGTAACCCAGGAGAGAAAGCCAGGGATTTCTCCTCCTGTGAAGAATTACTGTCTCAGAAACTCAGAGGCAATTCTACCATGTCTTGTAGAGTAGCTATAATCTGACATCCCCTCCATGACAGAGCGTTTGGTTTTGATTAGAGTACCCCGGGAGAAATGTGAGTCTCACTGATGCTTCCTGGGCCTTTGTTGTTCACAGATCAGGAAAAGAAGACCCACCCCAGCATCACTCGTGATTCTCAATGAACAGAACAGCCCAGGTAAAGAAGCACTCGGTTGTGATAGAATGGCATAGATTGTTTTATGCACATCAAAGAGTGTGTCGTTGCCAAGAGGCTTCAGCTCAGGATGTCAGTGAGCAGTGATCCAACAAGCCCAGCTCCGGGACGGATCATGAACACCGCAAAAGAGAAATGTTGTGGGGACTCTTTCACCGCACGCCTGCTTTTGCTCTACAGTGGCACACGGACGATGAGAGGCTGTGCAACGTTCTGTCAGCCTTGGCTGTCATGTGCTCAGGTGTTCGCACAGAATCCTGTCCCGTGTTTCTTAATGAGACTGGTAGAGAGTTGTTTAATTAGGTTTCAAAGCTCTAATTACAGTGGTAGATGCTTATATCTTCCCAGACTAGATTTTCTATTTATGGAATGTGATCATGGGGTGGGCAGTGAGCTTTGGCGCTGACGTCATCTCTGTATAATGCAATTGACAAGTCATCAGATCGATTTTCAGCATTGCCCTTTGGGAGCCATTCCAAAGGGTTGCATCCATTTGTTGAGGTTTTATTTTCCATTTCCTGGCAAAAGTAAAGCCGCTTTAGTATTCTTGCTGAAGGACTGTGATCTCTCTCTGATGCACAGACATTATTTACCTACTGCGTGGCGTGAACTTCATCTCACGGTTAAGTGCTGCTTCTAGAAATACAAGTAGGATGGAAAAGGTCACGACATTAACTTGTAAGCAGGCCGACCTTGGAGTTGGAATTTTTTCCCAGGTAGGAACAATAAAGCGAACAAAAAAGAGTTTGATTAGTGAAAACATTATATATCTAAGTATACGTTATAGTGGATCGTATGTTTTAATAATTCCTGGGCAAAATATTTCTTGACTTTTGCTCACTATTGTTGTTGTTAAGTGTTGTTAATTTGATTCTGACTCATAGCGAGCTCTACATGTAGTAGACAGAAAACTGCCTGGTCTCGAGATCTGCAACAACTGTTAAGTTCAGTTCTGTGTTGAGTCACTGTGTCACTGCATCTTGTTGAGCGTCTTTTCTCTGCCCCTCTACTCTATCCGGGAGGATGACCTTTACCAAGAACTGGTCTCTCTTGATAACATGTCCTAAGTATGTGAGGTTGAGTGTCATCATCATCATGTGTCAGCAGCACTTTTGGCTGTACTTTGTTCTGGCAGTCCATGGTACATTCAAAGACTCTTCACCAGCACTTACTTTTAACAACATGTTTGCAGATGCCTTTATCTTAAGTGCAATTTCACTTAAAGTTAAAGAAGTGAGCATATGAAATGAAAGTCATGTCTTTATAGCCTATTTATTACTGTGTCCAAATACAGGGAAATGGGTCGCTGATGGGAATGATGTAAGCTAATTAGTCCCTGTTGAAAACAAAGAATTATCATTTGAATATATTTTTAAAATATTCAAATATAATTATTTTAAAAGAAGCTCTGGTGGTGCAGTCAGGTAAGTGCTGGATTGCTAAACACAAACCCACCAGTCACTCCTCTGGAGAAAGGTGAGACTGCTTCTGGCACGATTATAGCCGACACTCGACGCCAAGGGCCCATGATAGGGATCAACTCAGTGGCAGTGAATGTGGCTTGGTAATCTTTTAAAATCATTTTCAAATATATTCTTCTGCCCACCCCATATTAATTTAGTTATATTTCATTTAACAAGAAGTACAAATATAGATACTTGTAGCTTATCAGTAAATATACTATGGAATCACAACAATTAAATTGTCTCAGTTTTGAGGGAAGCTTGTTGTACTTTTCCTCCCTGCTTGTTGACAGTGGCAGGCCTTCCACACTGTCCTGACACTCCCCTCCTTAGGCTAGTCCTGAAGAGAGTTGCCATCGTAGATTTCCAGATGCCTGGGCATGCCCTTGTAATCTACCCAAGAGCACCTTTCAGAGGTTTGCAGGCATGGTTACTGTGTTTAAGTAGTGAAGTCATGTCAGTGGCCTTTGTGGCTCTCATTCGAGATAGAAAATAGTAGCTACTGTTTCTTGAATCTCAAATACGTGCACTTGACAATTGATGAAATGATTCTCAGTGAGCTGAAGTGATCTTTACTAACATATTCTCCTACAAATGGCAGACCCAAAGAGAAACTCGGACAATTACCATTCCAGAGCACACGCATTACCTATGGCACAGTGCTGGCACTGAAAGTTTCTTTGACTGGCAGAGTAAGGGCGCAGCACATGTAACAAGACTTTCTGCTTCTGGAGACAAACAAGCTCTAACTTTAAATGGACCCTTTGTCTGAGCCACATAGTTTGGTAGATTAAAAGTGTGTTTAATTCTATTTAAATATCCCTGGAAACCAAGCCTTCTTCATACCAGACTTGCCAATCATTAGATGGCATTGACCTATTCCCAAAATTGATGCCATCCTCTTAGTTTTCAGCACAATTGGAGAGAACTAGATGCAAATAGCTTCTCACCGGAATTACATCATATTAGCAACTCATCTCCTTGTAGCCTCCTGTGAAAAATAGAAGCTCACAAGGGACTGATCTGCTCTTACCCCCATGTAGCACTTATATTAGTGTGACAGTGTATCCCGTAAAGAGGATCTATGGCGATGATAATTGAGGGAGGAACTCTATGAACATAAGCAACCAACCAAATAAAAACAAGAGGACACAAACCAAACCTGGTCTGTTTTAGCTACGTGGTCATTTTCTCATCGATTAGAGACCTTAATGGGCAATCTACCTATCTAATAGGGCAATTGTAATGATCAAAGAGTTAATGTGAGCATACTTTAAACTTGCAAAATTCAACATAACATTTAAATGTCATTAGTGGCTATACTTTTGAATATTACCTTTGCATGTTATATTTAAGAGTGTAGATATATTATAAAGTGATGAACAGAATCTTCACAATTTCGCCAGTACTAAATATTTCTGTATAACTCAGTAATTTTGTTTGCTCTCAATGCTATTTGAACATATCTTCTTTCAAACTGAACTGAACTCAACCAAAAATTATGAAAATAAAATGTATGTATTAAATGCCCTTTCTTAAGTCATTGCTCTCCTTTCCTTCAAAACCGATATGCTTTTTTTTCTTATTATTGCTACAAAATCAGAAACCTTTATTTGACAAAAATATCAAAATGTAAAGCCTCATCTATGACTATAAGCTTTTAAAATACATTTCAATATTTAATTTACCCTTTAGACACTAAATAGTTATTTAATTACCTTTAAATAAATTTTATTGTGAATTTGATAGAGGGTGGCAGAGCATATTATCAGCTTTATATTCAACAACTCATATATATTTTGTTTCATTGCATTGATTGTAATCTGCTCAATGGAATCTCATTTATTTTACTCCCTGTTTCTTGCTTCAGATGCACCTTCTTTTCCTACTCTGTCTGAATTTTGCCTTTGGGTAAACACTGCCCTTTTGATCTTAAATGTTTGATTATTCTAAGGTGTTTATACTTCCCTAGTGTTGATGGTCCCTTTGTAGACCTTTCTATTGTTTGACTGAAAATTGAGCCACAGGGCTGAGTTCCGTTCCAGACCGGAAGTGTGACTACACCTCACAGGGTCAGAGGTTCTACCAAATTTTTATTTGGCTAGCAAGCCTTGCCTTTTTTATGATTTTGAATTTTGTTCCGCATTACTCTCCCACTTCATTCAAAATCTTCTAATGTGAACCCTTTCAGAACAGTTGGTAGTGGTAGCCAGGTACCATCTAGTTCTTCTGGTCTCTGGCTTATGGGGACTGACATTGGCATGATCCATTAGTCCATTGTACCTATTGTTTACATGTGTCTTCAATTTTCATCACTCTTCCTTCCTCCGGACAAGAGGAGACCAAGAGTAGTGCTTTTAGATGGTTGCTCCTGAACTTTCAAGATCCCACTCTCTACTCACCCAAGTAGGATGTACATTGTCTTTGTGGTCTGTGCTATTTCAGTGACCTTGGTGTTCCCCTTGACTAGATTCCTATGTGTCTGGGCCCAGCCATTCCTTCTCTCAAGTGATTAGCTGTGTCTGAGATGTTTCCTAAGCTTGCCCCATGTAAGCCCCACCACATTCACTACATTAGTTGCAGCAAAAGTATATACTCATGTAGAAATTCCCTCTGTCAAACCTACACATAATGGCAGTATATGCCTATGTGTTCAGCCGTGCATCTACTTGTGGATCACCATTATTGCAGTATCCTGTATATAACACTCTTTACCTCTGGTGCCTTTCATTCTTGCTCCACTCCTAGTGTCTTCTTCTGTGGCCATACATTTTTGCCAAACTACTTCCGGTTCTATATTGAGTTCCCCAAGGGAACACATGTCCAGCCTCTAGCCAATGATTTTCCTTCTCATTCTCCCCCACCTCTGATAGCCATCAGGGAATGTGTCTTTTAGTGTGAGAACCTTTTCTTGACTTTTAACAATAATGATCTCATACAATATTTGACACAAAAATCACATACTGCTATGTAGAACTAATGATATAGCTATAACGAATAAGTAAATAAATTCCTCAAATTCCTCTATGTTGTCTAGCTGACAAAATGAATATCTCATGAACCACCTGTTGTTAATTCAGTTTAAAATTCCAATCCCTGAAAAATCCTTCTTTAGTGTCAATTAAGCAGAGACAATTAGATTCTCCATTACAGAGACATAATCAACAAATCTTTCCAATTCATCTGATGAAATCATTGAGTTGCAATCATTGCTAAGTGAATTAGCTACAACTCCTCCTCTCCCCTTTATATGTGATTTAATAGATTATAGAAAGTGGTATTAGTTTTTGGTGTTATACAGAGAGATTGAAAATACTGTAGACTGCCCAAAATACACAGAAACATTATTTCTTATTTTATTTTCTGAATTGAATATTCTAAGTCCCCCATAAGGACCTTATTAATGAACTCTAGCCAAATTCTCCTTTCTCTCATCTTTGAAGCCTGGACTTGGACACAATATTCCAGTAAAATGCCAACTTAGACCAAACCTTCTGACTATTAAATCTGTGGTAGCAA